TTCATCTTCAAAGCTCTCACTGATGGAAGGAGGTTTTGGCTCAGAATCTTACGATACATGGCCCCATTCATTCTGTCCTTAACACGGATCAGTCGTCCTGTCCCCTTAGCAGAAAAACAGCCCCAAAGCATGATGTTCCCACCCCCATGCTTCACAGTAGGTATGGTGTTCTTGGGATGACACTCAGTATTCTTCTTCCTCCAAACATGACGAGTTGAGTTTATACCAAAAAGTTCTACTTTGGTTTCATCTGACCACATAACATTCTCCCAATCCTCTGCTGTATCATCCATGTGCTCTCTGGCAAACTTCAGACGGGCCTGGACATGCACTGGCTTCAGCAGCGGAACATGTCTGGCACTGCAGGATTTGATTCCCTGCCGTTGTAGTGTGTTACTGATGGTGACCTTTGTTACTTTGGTCCCAGCTCTCTGCAGGTCATTCATCAGGTCCCCCCGTGTGGTTCTGGGATTCTTGCTCACCGTTCTCATGATCATTTTGACCCCACGGGATGAGATTTTGCGCGGAGCCCCAGATCGAGGGAGATTATCAGTGGTCTTGTATGTCTTCCATTTTCTGATAATTGCTCCCACAGTTGATTTTTTCACACCAAGCTGCTTACCTATTGTAGACTCACTCTTCCCAGTCTGGTGCAGGTCTCCAATTCTTTTCCTGGTGTCCTTCGAAAGCTCTTTGGTCTTGGCCATAGTGGAGTTTGGAGTCTGACTGTTTGAGGCCGTGGACAGGTGTCTTTTATACAGATAATGAGTTCAAACAGGTGCTATTAATACAGGTAATGAGTGGAGGACAGAAGAGCTTCTTAAAGAAGATGTTACAGGTCTGTGAGAGCCAGAGATTTTCCTTGTTTGAAGTGACCAAATATTTATTTTCCACCCTGATTTACAAATAAATTCTTTAAAAATCCTGCCATGTGAATTCATGGATTTTTTTTCACATTCTGTCCCTCACAGTTGAAGTGTACCTATGATGTAAATTACTGACCTCTGTCATCATTTTAAGTGGGAGAACTTGCACAATCGGTGGCTGACTAAATACTTTTTTGCCCCACTGTAGTAAAGTTTGTCACAGAAAGAAAAATCCTAAAGTTCTTCACAACAGTCAGCAAAACAAATCATAAAGTCATTATCCATTCATCCATTCATTTTCTGAACCTGCTTTGTCCACGTAGGGTCACGGCGGCTGGTGCCTATCTCCAGTGGTCAACGGGCAATCAGGCGGGGTACACCCTGGACAGAGAGCCAGTCCATCGCAGAGCAACACAGAGACACACAGGACAAACAATCACACACACACACACACACACACACACACACACACACACACACACACACACACACACACACACACACACACACATCTAAGAACAATTTAGACAGACCAATCAACCTAGCAGTCATGTTTTCCATGCAGAAAGATCCCAGGCCGGGAAGCGAACCCGGGACCTTCTTGCTGCAAGGCAACAGTTCTAACACCTATAACGTCATCAAATGGTTGTAACAACAAAACATGAAGTAAAAATGAAAGATTGTTAAAATAAAAAACACAAAAGCAGTTTTAACAGAAAGGGTCTTCAGCTGCAGGGGCGGATTTAGGACTGAAGAAGATCAGGGGCTTAACACACATACGTGCGCACCTGTTAGTGTTTAGTGTGTGATGATAGTAAATATTCCCTTTCTTTCTCCAACAACTTTACCTGATAAGCTAACTTTAGGCAAACCAGCAGCACAACAAATATTTTCAAATAAGACTCCCAAACCTGAGTCAACACCAGTCTCATCAAAGCTGGGGTTCTGTCGTACTTTTTGTCTAAAAAACGTCCTCATGTCCATCTTCACTCATGCGTTTCAGGCAGAGAGTGTAGAAGAAGCCGGTTGCTGAAGGGCTTCTTCTTCAGTGGTGGAGGCTCAGGCAGGCTGTATACAAACTACTGCCAGCTGCTCCCTCTCTGTTGGACTTTGGTACTGCATGTTACTTCCGCGATTTAGATCCGGGGCTTTTCATAAAACATTCGGGGCTTCAACCCAAGTAGCCGGGCCTAACGCCGCCCCTGGCAGGTGTTCAGACTGAGACTACTACATAGCAGTGAAATTCATTCCAAAGTCAGTGAGCAACCGCCTGGAAAGAGCGATCCCCTCGAATTTTACATCTGGTCTTGGAACTTCTACATCATCTGTGGCATTTGTGCAGATAAAACATCAACGCTGAGTCAGTTGCTGTCAGCCAATCAGAGGCCAGGTGTCCAAAACCAGGAAACAAGTCCTGTCGTCTGAATACTATGGGTGTTTCTCAATGTCAAGACGCCTGGCCTTGTGAGGCGATGTCTTGTGAGGCCAGGCTCCTTGCTTGCGAGGACGCTGTCCTTCCTTGGTCAAAGAAACCGGTTACATAGAACAGACTTGCATCACGTGACCGCGGCTTCCACGGCGATCACGTAACGTCAGGTGACATGGGAGATAATGTTATATTTTATATGTATTAGTTTCAATATAAATATATAACAAGTCTTTTGCTTCTTAAATTGTGTATATGTTTATTAAATTAAATATATAAGTGAGTTACTACCCGCTAGCCACCGAAGCTGCAACTACTAAGCAACTAACCAACCATAAATGACTTCTTTGGATCTAAAAAAACATTTTAAAGTAGCTGACTTACTTTTAAACTTGAAAATTGTCCCCGAGGTAGCTGCTGACTTCTGATCCACCGTCCTTTTGAAAATAATTCTGGGTAATTTCTGACCAAGGCTAGGCTACAAGACACCTCCCATATATCCTTGCTCAGCTAGCTAAACGGCTAACAAATGGAGAACACACGCCTCGGTAGAACATGAACATTGGAACACGTCTTGGCAGCTCCTGATGACGTATCTCCTAGGCAACTGGGGCGGGGCCAAGACATCAAGGCAAGGTTCCTTGGCATTGAGAAACACCCCTACTTTTCATCTGGCTTACTTCCTGAAACAGAGCGCCAGAGCTTTTTTTCCCACAGAGATCTACTCACAAGGCATTCGTTTATACTGGACACCACTGCAGGTGTGTTGGAAAAATGTGGGTCTTTAAAGATGAATGGAACAAAAGACAGTTTTCAGATTATTTTGGGAAAATTTTTATTATTATTGTTTCAGTGCAACGCTATTGCTGCACCAACAGGAAAACAAACAATTGTTCTTATTCGTTTTTACATCAGCAATTCAACGACTCTCACACACGTATCAAAACAAATTACACAACCGATCTAAAGTCCCATTAGATATTAAAAAAGAAAAATATTATTATTATTACTACAACAGTAAATAAAACCAATATTTACAGTCTTCTGCTGAAGGTAAAACTACAGGTATGTACACAGTGGGTGGTCAGAGCCCCCTCTTCAAGAGAGACAGGAGAACTTGCTTCCTTGGTGACGAAACAAAAATAAAAGTAGAGCCATCGTTGTTTTGAAATAGCAGGAGGTGTTTTGTTTCAAATCATCAGAAAGATTTTGGCCAATTATGTTTTTAAAAACCTCCATGGAAGTGAGTGAAACAGTTTGCAGCGCAAAAAGAAAAACATGGGCCTGGATAGCACCTTCTTAGGGTTTTACAACCCCCCAAGGTGCTTCACAACACAATCAGTCACACACACATTCGCACACTGGTGTTGATGAGCTACGATGTAGCCACAGCTGCCCTGGGGCGCACTGACGGAAGCTGCTAAACGCTGGCGCCACCGGTCCCTCCGACCACCACCACCAGCAGGCGAGGAGGGTTAACAGCAGGAGCCGGTATCAAACCCACAACCTCACTGGACAACCCTCTCCAGTTCCTGAGCTACTGCTCAGAGGGGTAGTGGAGGGTGGACGAGTGGTTCTAGTCATCACTGACTCCTTTTTAAATCCCGATGTAAACTGGTTCTGTTCCACATAAAACAGAGAAAAGAACCATTCCATTTCTCTATAACTGGCAAGGACGAGACATCGATTTGATACAGATTCTTACTTCTCTCAAAGGAAAACAGCTGAAAATAATCACAAAAGACCTTAAAAAACGCCAGCGTGTGACCGTTTACATGCATCTGAACCAGTCAGAATGACAATAAAATCAACTGCAAAGCTTTTAAAAGTCACTCTGCCACATCGCCACCGCATCAATCACGACGTTTATGACCCAACGCTGGTACAGGATGTCAGTCGTGTAGCTGGAAATGGTTAACTGATGAAGTGATCGCTGAACATGGAGCCATAAATCAAAGGAATAAAACATCAGCTGCTGGTTTTTTCCCTGAATCCAGACTGAACTTTCCTCAGAACCGGACGGTTGATTTATTGGCAGATTTTAAGCTGAATTATCTGCGTTGCAAATAGAGCCTGACAATTTGTGTTGCTAATGTCTACAAATCCAAAGCAAAACCAAATGAGCGGGCCGGTCTTTCAGTGTCTCGGCCCAAGCTTTGGTTTAGCAGAGCAGACGACCTTTACTACGTAGGAATACATAAAAACCTGTTCTGCAGGATAGAAAACACCAGAAAGACTCTGCTGAGCCTGCCTTTTGTAATTAGTAATGCAGATAAGTTAGCCAATCAGAAACCAGATTACATAACACACATTTGTTGAACAAATACAGGAGATATGAAAGAAAGAGCAGGAAAGAAAAACAGTGATGAATGGAAAAAGCAAGCAAACTTCAAACTGTTTATAAAGGGACTTAATCACCGTGACAACCAGCAATGTAATAGACACAAACACCGGCTCCTTTCCTGAGCTCGGCTGGTATGACCTGCACTGAAACAGGCAGAACTAGTTGATGATTAACACTTCCATGGAGAGTTTCCTGATTGCGTTCGTTGATTATTATTTTTTTTTGTCTCCAAACACCAGATTTTATCACAAGGAAGTTAGATTATTATTTATGTTAACATTCAGTAAAATAAAAAGTTGTCAAGTATGAATTTCAATACATTCGTTATATTCTCAACACACACACACACACACACACACACACACACACACACACACACACACACACACACACACACACACACACACACACACACACACACACACACACACACACACACACACACACACACACACACACACACACACACTTATGAACACATATGTACACAGGCAGGACAGAAGGGATGGTTTCCACCTCTGTTTGAAAGTTCATTCCACCACATTTTAGAGGATGGTGAGAAGAAGACAGTCAGGTGTTCTTGCTTTGAAAAGTGAAAAAAAAAAGTTTTCCAGGATTAATAATCAGTCCCAAATCCGTCACAGGAGCTCGGCACAAACGTTTGAGGCATTTGCAGCTATGATGGTGCCAATCGGGGAGAATATGTTTCTATGACCTGCTTTTAATCAGTTCACCTCACAAACTCAGAGACAGGACTAGTCACCAAAATCTTTCTGCAAAAATGTTTTATATTTTATGAATGCCTGCTGGTACTCAGCCCCCATCAGTGCCAGGAAGTGATTCTGGGTTTGGTTTGCACTGTGATCGGTTGGGTTTAGCTCTGGTGGCGCTTCATGTGCAGAGCCAGGTGGTCCGAGCGCGAGAAGCAGCGGCTGCAGGCGATGCACTTGAAGGGCTTGGCCCCGGTGTGCTTCCTGTAGTGTCGGGTGAGCTCGTCGGATCGGGCAAAGCGCCAGTCGCAGTTGTCCCACGTGCAACGGTATGGCTTCTCACCTGGAGAACAAATGAGAACAGCATGAAGTCATCAGCAAACATGCAGAACGTTCACACCAAAAATAATCTACTTCCTGTGTCAAAAAGGAAACTGTAGGGTGTCATGGTTACTTTTAACATATCTGCAAAGGTATGTTTTTAAACATTTTAGGGACAAAACATTGTTGTGCAAAATACTCTTAAACATCAAACTTGAAACCCAAATCTTAACTCATTCGCTGCCAGCCGTTTCCTGATCGGTAAAGCCCTTCGCTGCCAGCGTTTCTCACCGTTTTTACTGTTTTTTTTTAAGAGTCACAGAACGTTGTGCGCTAGGATGATGTCAACGCCAAAACAACCAAAACAAAGCGGAGACTCACCTCTTAAATCAGGAAGAATCCGCCCGTTTCGAGCGTTATTTGTTCTTTCATAATCCGTTGTTGAATTGTGATCGGCAGAAGTTTTTCCGGTTTGTGCCTCACTTTTTTTTACAGCAGCGGCCCAAAACGATCTCCTAACACATGGATGTTCTGCTTCCTGATCACGTGACGTGTGACGTATGCGGATGAAGATCGGCTTTAGAGCTGAGATGTTTGTTCTCACGGTGCGGGGGCTCGCCCGACGCCCACACAGTAAAAAAATGCAAATGACGACTTAGCAGTGAACACTTTTAGGCTTCTAGTGAATTTTCTATCCAAAATGGGAGGTTTGAGATATTTCAACAATTCTGTTTTATATAACTTTTTGTTAGCAGCATTGAGCCTCAGCAGGACGGTAGGCTATGTTTAGGGATACATTTAATGTAGATAACTTTCTGTAGTTAGCGGAAAGTGTTGATCAAGAAGTTCTACAGAGACACAAAATGGCTAAAGATTTAAAAAGCACGAGGCATGGATTTAAATACGATACAAGCAAAATGCAAAAGAAACGCATCATAAACAGGTTGAAGTCTTTGGAAACCAAAAAAAAACCAAAAAAAAAAAAAACCCAAATAATTACTGTAGCGTGTAAAAGAACGATTATTAAAAACAACATTGGTCCAATTGTCACAAACTCCCATTGTCCCCGTCCTGTTGAATCGGAGACATGTCCCACTGGTTTTAAAATAAGACAGAAGAAACGGGTAAAAAGACAAAGAAGCTGTGAAATGAATTCAAAGCAGAGTGGAAAAACAAGCTGAGTAAATCTAACACGACAGTTACCCGACTCCACCCAGACACTCACATTTCTGCACCATGCCGCAACGTGCTGTTGCCAAATAGTGAGCTAATCATCAACAACGTCCTGTTGAATGGCATGTACGTGCCACAAGGGAAAAAAAATCATCTTTTATAAGAAGAAATCAATCAGTGAGAGACGTGAGCACAAGCGACTTCAATCCAATTCTTCAAACGATGGCAAAAAAAATGAAACAAGAAAAATGAAGAAAATGGTTAGTTTTTTTGGAGATTCTGGTAGGTAGAATAGCGGATCTGCAGAAAACAGGAAAAGAGAGCGATGGCGCGACCCTTGGAAAACACGGACAGGTGTCAAAAAGCACCACTGATTAGTTTACAGTGATTGGTTTGGCTTCTTGCATGTCCTGTTTGGGGGAAAAGACTTAACATTCTTCATAAGCGATGAACGTCTAAAAACAGCTCAAATATACCGAATAAAAGTACTGGTATTAACCATGAGCTTGAGAACCGCGTGAAGGTTTATAAAAACAATTTAGGAGATTGGAAGGGTTTTAACTCATTCACTGCCAATGATGATTAAAGTCGTCATTTGCATGTCTTTACTGTGTGGGCGTCGGACGAGCCCCCGCACCGAGAGAACAAACATCTCAGCTCTGAAGCCGATCTTCATCTGCATACGTCACACAACACGTGATCAGGAAGCAGAACATCCATGTGTTAGGAGATCGTTTTGGGCCACTGCTGTAGAAAAAGGTGAGGTGCGAACCAGAAAAGCTTCTGCCGATCACAATTCAACAACGGATTATGAAAGAACGGAAAAAGCTCGAAACGCGCGGATTCTTCCTGATGTAAGAGGTGAGTCTCCTGTTTGGCGTCAACATCATCCTAGTGCGCAACGTTCTGTGACTCTTAAAAAAAACCAGTAAAAATGGCGAGAAACGCTGGCAGCGAAGGGCTTTACCAATCAGGAAATGGCTGGCAGTGAATGAGTTAAAGTAGCAGAGACCCAATTCAGCCCAGTTAGCCGTTAGCGCAGTCACTTAGGATGTCCAGACTGTTGGCTTGAGTTGGGTCCATTTGGACCAAAGCTTTTAGCTGACTGCATCACAGCTGAATGATCCCAATGAGGACTAGTCATCAACGCTAAACCAGGTCTTTAGTCAACCAGAGTCACAGGAGTGTGACTCAGTGTTGCTGTTGGGTCATTAAGCGCTCATTACCAGCGTGGGTCATGTTAGCGCTGATTAGATAGCCTCAACTATTGACCATCAATCACTCAGCAGCAGCTATTAGAGACGCGGTGGGGTCCAAAGAGCAAACAGGAGGGTCAAAGGCAACAAGGAAAGGTGTTTGTGACTAAAGTGTCATCAAATAATGACCCAAAATTATCAAATCTAACACATCTGTGTTTGTCTAAATACTTAAAAAAGCAGCCTCCTCTTTGGACAATATCCTGCTCCCAAAAGGAAGCGGCTGTTGATGTGTGTGGAGTTCATAGATCTCCATGTAGAGGTCCTCACTCCACAGGTGTGTTTGGCTTTGCTTTTTGTTCTCGCGCCGTCGAGGTCAAAAGCACATTTGGCTCCTCTTAGACGATTACCTCTGAAAGCTGGCAAACAGGCCGGTGAAATACGACACATCCGAGCCCAGAACAAACACACTTGACTGGCGCGTTTTCCTGGACAAGACCAGGAAGGTCGGGAAAAACGACACCCCCAGATACACGCAAGGTTTAGCCTAAAGACACATGCCGAGTTTCTGGGATCAGGTGGCTTGTTGGAAGAACTACAGTACTACCTCTGAAGTTACTACGGCCACACGAATAAACAAGTCAATCACAACAAAACACTCATCAGAACTGAGCATCAACAAAAACCTTTTGTAAAACCAGATGTACTTTACATGCAGGACAAATATTGACTCCAAAAGAGACTCTTTAGTCTCGCTGACATTTTAAACTGCAGCGTGGGAAATGACAAATGCGTTTTGGAGCAGAGCGTGCTTCTTCTGGGCTTTGCTTCCTTCATGACTCCACGCAGACTGATGTAATCTGGATGAAAGTGTAATAATTTCTTTTTACAACCATCTCTGCCTGCTTTTACAGAGTCAAAGAGCAAACACTTTCAGGCTCTCCGGAACGCCCATAAAGGCTTAGTGGCCCCTTCAGCTTTATCAGCTCGGTTAGTGTTTGTGAAGAGGGCTTGGAGGGTTACTGAAACAGGCCGACGGCGTTGTTCCACGCTAGATTATCCAAAGTCAAAGTGAAGAGCTGGTGGAGCGGCCATGGTCAAGGCTGACCTCCCCAATCAGGGTTGTTATGATAGACATGAAGATAGAGCTGCAGCTTTACAGCCTGCATGGTACCAGAAGGCTTCACAAACAGAAACTGTAAAACCCACAGGTCTGTTCTGTTGAACCATGAAGTTAAACTTAGTTTATCACTTTGTTTGTTGGTGACAAGCTGGAGCCCAAAACTGCAAGAAATGTCAATCAGCATCAGGCAGATTTGGTTATTTTATAACACATCTGCTGCATTTGTTGAATCTGTGCAAAAATCTTCTAAAGTTTTTATTAGCTTTCATTTCAAAACCCTCCATAGAGCACAGCATGATTTCCAACCCAGCCCCCCAAACGACTCACATTTCTTCCACTTTGTGACATATCTGAGTAGAAATTTTACTTTTCATCTTGAACAATGTTCCAGTGAAACGGGCATCAAGTGAGGAAGTTTGGGAATCCTCACAACCGTTTACTGGGATTTCTCAGAAATTTTCAAAAATTCACCATATAGTGATTTAGTGCTGAAGCAGGGAGGACTCGGAGTGCTGCCAAAGCAGTGGTAAGCAAGGTAAAAATCACCAAAGGTTTCATTTCGAGACTCAACTAAAAGACACGCGGAGCAGAAACGAGGCGTAATCACTACAAATCAAGAAAAAGATACGAGCTGAGAAACCGAAGGCAAATTCCTTGATTGTGTGACAATCTTGACCAATAAAACTGATCCGGACACTGAGAGCTGATTGGCTGAATGCGAACCAGGTGAGTTAATTGGCATGTGAGTGAATGGAAGCTCAGTGACAGGAAAATGGGAATGCAGTGTTTAGGAAAACTAGAAAGAAAAAGGAACGGTTGTTGTAACGTTCATGTTTTAGCTCCTTTTAGGTTGGATGTTAATGAAATGATGTTAAGAATGTCACAGACTGTTGACTAAGGGTTAACAAGTACAGGTGCTGGCCAGTAAATTAGAATATCATCAAAAGGTTGAAAATATTTCAGTAATTCCATTCAAAACGTGAAACTTGTACATTATATTCATGCAATGCACACAGACCAATGTATTTCCAATGTTCATTACATTTAAATTTGATATTCATAAGTGACAACTAATGAAAACTCCAAATTTGGTATCTCAAAAAATTAGAATATTCTGAAAAGGCTGAATATAGAAGACACCTGCTGCCACTCTAATCAGCTGATTTACTCAAAACACCTGCAAAGGCCTTTAAAAGGTCCCTCAGTCTTGTTTTGAAGGCACCACAATCATGGGGAAGACTTCTGACTTAACAGCTGTCCAAAAGACAATCATTGACACCTTGCACAAGGAGGGCAAGACACAAAAGGTGATTGCTAAAGAAGCTGGCTGTTCGCAGAGCTCTGTGTCCAAGCACATTAACAGACAGGCGAAGGGACGGAAAAAATGTGGTAGAAAAAAGTGTACAAGCTCTAGGGATAACCGCACCCTGCAGAGAATTGTGACGACAAACCCATTCAAAAATGTGGGGGAGATCCACAAAGAGTGGACTGCAGCTGGAGTCAGCGCTTCAAGAACCACCACGAGGAGACTCATGAAAGACATGGGATTCAGGTGTCGCATTCCGTGTGTCAAGCCACTCTTGAACAAGAAACAGCGCAAGAAGCGTCTCGCCTGGGCCAAGGACAAAAAGGACTGGACTGATGCTGAGTGGTCCAAAGTTATGTTTTCTGATGAAAGCAAGTTCTGCATTTCCTTTGGAAATCAAGGACCCAGAGTCTGGAGGAAGAGCGGAGAAGCACAGAATCCACGTTGCATGAGGTCCAGTGTAAAGTTTCCACCGTCAGTGATGGTGTGGGGTGCCATGTCATCTGCCGGTGTTGGCCCACTCTGTTTCCTGAGGTCCAGGGTCAATGCAGCCGTCTACCAGGAAGTTTTAGAGCACTTCATGCTTCCTGCTGCTGACCAACTTTATGGGGATGCAGACTTCACCTTTCAACAGGACTTGGCACCTGCACACAGTGCCAAAACCACCAGCACCTGGTTCAAGGACCATGGTATCCCTGTCCTTGATTGGCCAGCAAACTCGCCTGACCTTAACCCCATAGAAAATCTATGGGGTATTGTGAAGCGGAGGATGCAATACGCTAGACCCAACAATGCAGAGGAGCTGAAGACGACTATCAGAGCAACCTGGGCTCTCATAACACCTGAGCAGTGCCACAGACTGATCGAGTCCATGCCACGCCGCATTACTGCAGTTATTGAGGCAAAAGGAGCCCCGACTAAGTATTGAGTGCTATACATGCACATTCTTTTCATGTTCATTCTTTTCAGTTGGCCAACATTAGAGAAACAAACATTTTTTCATTGGCCTTTAGAATATTCTAATTTTCTGAGATACCAGATTTGATGTTTTCATTGGTTGTCACCTATAAATATCAAATTTAAATGTAATGAACATTGGAAATACATTGGTCTGTGTGCATTGCATGAATATAATGTACAAGTTTCACGTTTTGAATGGAATTACTGAAATATTTTCAACCTTTTGATGATATTCTAATTTACTGGCCAGCACCTGTAATTAGCTCTAAAAACTGTTCACACAGGATAGGTAGTGTACCTTACAGAACTCTGGCAGGAGAAGCACTTCCAAATTTGATGTAAATCCTTACAAACTCAAAATTTACTAATCAGATGTGCAGTTGGTGGCACCTGATTTGTTTGTAAAATCTATTGAAAACATAGAGACACCATTATGAAAAAGAGGACTGTAGGGGTAAAAGTAGGTCAGTGAAAAGAAAGAAGACTTTCCGTCACTTAAAAGAGAACCAAGAAAACTGACGATGGGAAAAAAAAGTCCCTCATTAACCTTATCTGGTCTTATCAGCAAGTCAGTCGATCTTTGTCCAGAGAATGTAAACAAGGGTGCAAACACACCGGGCCGCTTAAGCTCCGACACAGTGTTCAGATAAAGACTAAAAATAATAACAATATGTTAATCTCAGAGTCAAGAGAAGCTAGTGCGACGTTGGTGAAAAACTGTGAGCTGCATGGATGAACGGGCAAATTAACATAACACAAAATGATACGTGGTGTTTCTTTGGGATTCAGAAGAGAAGCTTACATAGCAAGGAGGAGGAGTTGAAACAAAGGGTAAATAAATTGAGCAGCCAGTGGATTAGACTGGATTATTAAAGTAAAGGCAAGAGTACCAATTACACAACCCTGAGGGATTCCATGTGCAGAAAAAAACTCATTCCTAGAGAAAAATCTGTTATCAGTTTAAAGTGACAGGTTGTTTAGTCTACATAAAACGGCTGCAGCCCTTTTCCATTTAGAACAATTCTTTCGGTTCGGAGCACTCGGCCCTGTTATTCTTTTCACTAATGAGTCACCGTCAACGCAAGACTAGGTGGGCTTGATTTAGCCGGACTTTCAGCCTTTTGGTGAGGTTTAAACAGATAATATGGTGATAAAACGGTAGCCTTGATTGTAAAGTGATTAACAAAAACAAAACATTTTAGTTTCTATTTTTCTGTTTTCTTACCACAATAAATAAAGTTTAGATTTCCTTATTCACTTGTTATTTCAATTTGCAGTGGTCTCTAGAATAAACAAATGTCTTGCAGGTTGATCTCTTTGGGGGGAAAAAAGCTCTGGCGCTCCTGTTTCAGGAAGTAGAAGTTAGCCAGAGGGGTGGGGAGAAGAAAACGGCAGGATTTGGAATCTTGGGCTCATCAGTATTCATGATATTTGGACATCTTGCTTCTGATTGGCTAACAGCAACATGACTTTTAACTGCTTCCGTTCTGTTTTTGTTGTTTGGATGTTTTAACTCCACAACTGAAGCAAGCCTGGAGGGGTTTCGCCATGCTGTGGAGCTGCTAATGCTTACAGTTAGCTTTTGCTAGCAAGGACATGCTATATCAGAATTTAAAGAACTAGAGGAACTTTGAAAGATTCCATCGGTATTCCAGGCAACACTCTAGGTGATTTAAACATTTAACTGTCTTGCTGAATATATTTTGGTTAGATAAATGATATTAAACAATAAGTGACTGAAGTTTAGTTTGTGAGCAGTTTTCTGTCTTTTAAAAATCCTTTTCCTGATTGTGTTTACATCATTTCTTCTCTATATTGTTTACTTTTCTCATTACATATTCTAAAACCTATTTGTTTTGCCCTGCTGTGTCCTGCGGCTTAAACAGCCCAACATCCCCATCGAGACTCATAAAGTTCCATCTTATCTGCTCCTGATCGCTCGTTTCTATTTGCCCACTCGTTCGCTGGAGTGTTTTCACGCCGGAGGAGCTGTGCGGCTTTCCTTGCATGAGTAAATCTCCAAAATACAGGTTGAGTTGAGGCCGCTGGGAATCCACGGGGTTTCATCTTACAGAGGGGGAAACATCGAAACCAGCCTGCCCCCATTCTGCAAACCCCCTTACCTTCCTGCTTCTAATTCTGAAGAAAGAAAAAATGACTGAAAAGCAGGAGGAACTGGTTTGGTCTTCATTTAATAGCGTGTCTTTCCTTATTTTATTATCCTCCTTTCTTTTTTTGACTCCTCCTCCCTTCTTTGTTCTCCCGCTCTTAGGAAACATGGAGGACAAGTACGAGCATGAAGAAAGTACAACAAAACACAACAAAACAAACTAAAATTGCCTGGACGTATTTTTTTTCTTATGAAATGTGTTCTCCTTCATCTGTGTGATCGTCACAGGGCGTACCGAAACTGGCTCAAAGCAGCTAAAATCACAGGATAACATCCAGGAAAGTGGCTTTTCAAAATAAAACTTTAGGTTTCATTTCTTATTTTTGAGCTTAAATAATAATTATTTGATTTAGTTTGTATTTTAGGTTTTTTTTTTATTTAAAAAAAAAAGGTCTCCGCTCCATACATCATCCAGTAATAATAATAATAATAATAATAATAAATACATAAATAAATAAATAAATAAATAAATAAATAAATAAATAAATAAATAAATAAATAAATGTTGCACATAACTAAATGCAATGAAGTGCACAAAAACAATTTTTTTATTTCGGTTTAAAAATAGGGTTAAGGTAATTTTTTCAAAATAAAATACCCCCTATACTTTTTTAACAGATTTTTTTCATGAAACGACACACAGACCATTACAGACTGAAATGATGAACACATGAAAAACAAAAACAGCAGCCAGCTGAGAGCAGAAAAATCTCCTTCCTGTCATTTCAGAACCTGTGTTTGTCATAACGGACTTTTCTCACCTGTGTGTGTCCTTTGGTGCGCCTTCAGATGAGAGCTCTTTGTGTAAACTTTGGTGCAGCCTGTGAGGAAATCAGGAGAGATCATGATCCATGTGAATACAGCAGCGTGAAACATCAACGTGCAGATTTACATCAGTTTGAGATGAAAGAGATGGAAGAGAAAACGTCTCTGGATCATTAAAACACAGCGACAGTTTAGGCGAATGCACTGTGAGCTCCACTTTAATCAGATAAATGCTGCGTCAAGTCAAATAGAAATAGTGCAGAATCCAAACAGCTTTTGTATTTTCTATGGTTCTGCAGTGGAAACACAGAATTGTGCAGCATTTGATCTGAGACGAGTCCACAGGCGAGGTTTACTGATGAAGCCGAACGGTCGGTTCAGTCTATGCGTCGTCATTATTAGCGTGTGGACCGCAGCCTGCATGCATGGCCTTCGATTAGAGTTTGTTTACACGACAGAGACTCTGGAGGCAAAACTTGTCGGAGTGGTTCCACGCTGAAACTTATTTTCTTTACTCATTTGTTTATGGAACTGTTAAATCCTGCTGCAGCCGTGATGGAGGCGGGCTCTGCTGGGATCTGTCCGTCCGGACTGATCTGGTGAGAACCTTGGAACCTGCTTTAAAATGTGGAGTTACCTGGTTGTTTTTGCAGGTTTGGTTTTAAGCGTCGTCCGTGTTCCATTAAAGAAAATAAAACCTAGCTGAGAGCATCTTGATTCCCAGGAGGAGTTATTTTCTCTAATTAAAGTCATTAAAAACAAAGCCACACCCATTTGTGCTGTGATGAAAGAAGGAGCTCACCTGGGTAGTCGCAGAAGTGGATCCGCCTCTTCTCCAGCTCTGGGTTGTTCCGCCTGTTGTATTTGGGTCCCGTCAGGACTCCCTGGCCGTGTGTCATCAGGAGGGCGTGTGGGGACAACCCCATCACCTTTATTCCTCCCAGACGCTGCTGGTACAGGGATGGAGCCTGAGGCTGAGGAGCCAGGCTGAGCAGCTCCGCCTGACCATCTGGGCTCCCTGGCTGGGAGTTTGGGGGTGAGGGCGGCAGGCTGTGTGGCGCTGTGTGCTGGGACGCGTTGTTCGGAGCAGCCTGGTAGTACCCGCCGTGCTGCAGCTGGGGATCTGCCATCATGTAGCTGCCGCTGCTCGTGGGCAACGTGCTGCTGCTGAGGTTCAGCATGGTTCTGCCGCTGGTGTTGCCCTGCGCCGATGGGCTGCTGTGCGACAGGGTCATGGTGAGGTCAGAGCTGGGGATGGGCATGTGGTAAACCTGCAGCTGAGGAGGGGGTGGTCCGATGTGGAGTTCTGAGTCCAAGCTTGGCTGCTGAGCCTGCTGAGCCGGTGTGCTGGTGTTTACCCCTCTGGAGCTCAGGTCTGGTTTTATAAAAACGTTGTTGACTACCGGCGGCACGCTGAAGACGGAGGTGAAGTCCGGCAGGGCCTGGGTGGGGGCGGGAACGGAGCAGGGCATCTCCAGCCCAGGTTCGGTCTTGATCTGCTGCGGCGTGAGGGTCTTAGCGGTGCTGGGCCTGTAGAGGCCCGTGCGGAGGTGGGTGGTGTTGGGCAGGATGAGGTTGATGTTTAGGCTGTAAGGCAGGATGGGCTTGTCCTCGGAGAAGTACTCGTCCACCACGGAGGCGCTGTCTCGTCTGTACTTCTTATCGTTGTCGATGGACGGGGTCAGAAGGGCGTTGCTGACCTGGGGCAGGTACTTGTCCAGTTCTAGTGGAGTCTGAAAACAAAAGGAGGAAAGGTTTAAAAGATCAAACTAAAACTTTTCAGTTTCCTTGAGCCAAACAGGATAATAAAATACAGAATTTTATATAAAAACTGCATTTTCTGGCCAAAAAGGAAAGGGCAACACAAATCTAGCCGAGGAAAGACTAAAATCCTATAAAAAACCTCTGAATTCATCACACGAAACACTTGAATACTCTCACATGTTGGGAAGTTTGACCAAAAAAAGGTAACATTTATAAGATTTTGGGCTAAATCTGCGGAATTCATAAGAATAAAACTCGTTTGAAATATTGAATGGATCAAGTGGAAAGTGTGATCCGAACAAATTAAGGTGCAACAGTGTGAAAGAAAACACGTGAAGGAGATGAGATCATGAGATGACTTGTTACAGCACAAAATCCAAACTCGAGCGGATTTTTCCAAAACCCTTTTAAGAGGACGAGTGAAACCGTTTCTGCTCGTGGTTCAAGTCTGACTCACTGAAAGCTGCAACACACGAGGCTGCTGAAGAGCAGCAGAGTCGGCAGGACTGGACACGCAGCGTGGAGGAGAAAATAAACGTCATCATCCCAACTTCATCCCCGATTAACCCGTGTGTGTGTTTACGTCTCATTCAGAGAGCAAGGAGGGACTTTTAGAGGTGCACAAGAAGCTGTTAATAGTCTGGGACCGCATGCACGACACACACACACACACACACACACACACACACACACACACACACACACACACACACACACACACACACACACACACACACACACACACACACACACACACACACACACACACACACACACACACACACACACACACACACACACACACACACACACACACACACACACACACACACACACACACACACACACACACACAGGTGTGGCTGGTGGTGATGCACAAAGAAGAAAAATGTCGTGGGAAGAAAAAACAACTCCCAGACAAACCAAAACAAAGGCAGAAGGCACGACAACGACGCAGCGAAACCTAAACACCGTCGGGTAAAAATAGACCTGCCCGCCGCTGCCGATCAGAAGAAATGAGCGGTGGGAGGAGAGACCAGCGGTGGGTGCAGAACAAGAAACAGAAACAGGATCACAAATCTTTTGGCTTCAAGGAATCTCCTGGTGGGGATTCCTAGAAGGCGTGTTAGAGTTATTTGGTCTAAGCTAGCTAGCGCTACAGGTAAAACTGGAAAAATCTGAATAAAGTGCAAACGCCCAATTTTGTCAGCAACCCAGCTCAGACCGAGAGACCATCTAAAGGCTCAGGAACCTTCTGCCTGCGTTCTGGATTCATCAGCTGATTAGAGTGTGACACTTTTCACCACAATCCATGTTGGTGTTTCTAATGATAATTAGCACCGACCACCTTAAACAGTCACTGATCGACATTAAAAAGTTACTTTCAGACGGTTTTAATAAAATCTGTTCAGCAGTTTGTGAGAAAATCTGCAAAACAGTACAGGAGGAATGTTACTGAATTAGAGAGAGAGAGTTAATTCTGTAAAAGTCACAAAAAAAAAAAGCAAAGAGTTGAGGTGAATGAGCCCAGAAACAAAGAACTGGTTCATCACTGGTCTTGAATAGAGTCTTTGGTTCGTTCCAGATTTGATTCTTTTGGAGAAACGAGAGGAAATGAAGAGCTGATGGGCGCGCACGCGCACACGCACACACACACACACACACACACACACACACACACACACACACACACACACACACACACACACAAGCACACACACACAGACACACACACACACAGACACACAGACACACACACACACAGACACACAGACACGCACACACACACACACACACACACTGATTATTAAAAACTGGACATTTTCAAGGCTGTAAACATTTCATATTTTTGCTCAAAGTAACTTAATTTTCGTGAGAAATCTCAACGTTGTGACCGCTGTGAGAAGCAGCAGTTCATAATCAAACAGGAATTCACTTCTGCAGCAGGAAAACCACAAATATTAAAATAAAATTATTCATTTATAATGAATATGTTGCTTTAAATCTGCGTTTTTGTCATTCTTTGTGCTGAAAACAACTCTTCTTTAAACACAATCATTTTCATCACTACACAAGAACCTGAAGTGTTCTGGTTGGTCCTGAAACCAGAGAGTAAAGCCAGAGCAGGTGAGCTGACCACCTTGTTTTGCGTATTTCCAAACACGCTCCTCTGCAAGTCTCCGTTTCAACCCTTTGGTACCGGCCTTTAGGCACAGCATCGACGCGTTTCACTCGCCACCGATAAACTCTCACGGACTTGTCTGCTGTGCGATCGGAGCGGCCGGTGAGGAGAAAGCCTTCGTCATTTACCAAGTCAGGAAAACAAAAACAGCCCTTCTGTTTCTGTCTGACGGCGTCGGTGTTGTCCTTCCAGGAACAGACACGAGCAGCTTCAGTGGCTCGGAGGGTGCTGGCAGCACCAACCTCTGGACGCCCTTGGTCGAGTCCCCTGCAGCTCTGTGATTTACCTGCATCTTTATTTACCATTAACACTCACTTCTCTGACCCTTGACCTTTTTTCAGGAATGCATGTGAATAAAGCACGGGTGAGCGAGGTGGAGAACGGTCACTGTTGCTTTATCAGTCACTCAGAAATGTTTAAAACTTTGAGTTAATTCATGAAAATGTAGCGGAGTTTGTCCAAAGAGCCAACAGGATCCAGTCTGAAGCAGAACCAGAACCCAGTCCAGACGTCTGAAAAACTCCTAAACCAAGAGTCTCTCATTCTTAAGCCACAACTTCTCAAGCCAATAAAAGTTCAGCAGAAACTTCCATAAAAGCTAAACGGCTTTCTGCTGCATGATCGGGTTCCTCAAACATTGTTAGAACGTCGCGGATTCATTAAGCAGGAGGAACGGCAGCTGGCGGCTCGAGGAGCTGCGTCTCAGAAAGTCGCTCTTTTGTTTTATCTGGTAAATATGGAGAATATCTTTGGGCGCTGAGTCAGTTAATAATTAGAGAAATGTACAACAGCCCTGCTATGAATCTTCCTGCCCGATAACGGTCCCTTATCAGCCCAGTTTATGGGCCAGGGTGGGAGTTTCCACACAGCTTCAGGTCCAAACTAAAAGATCCACAAGATTCATACGGCATAAAGGCTTTTGATCTTATTAAATCAAATCAAACTTTATTTATAAAGCACTTAATCATACAACACATGTAACTCAAAGTGCTTAACAGATTAAAAAGGCCCCGCATGCCCACAATCCCTCCCATCCCCAGAATTTAAAAACAGTCTGAGAATAAAAACATCTTCACAACACTCCTCCTCCGGCGCACACACACACACGCACACGCACACACACACACACACACACAGCGCACACGCACACGCGCACGCGCGCACGCACACGCACACGCACACGCACACGCACACACACACACACACACGCACACACACACACACACACACCCCCCGAAAAAACACAATGGTCTGAGTTTAGATGAGCCAGACCAGCTAAGATAAGGAAACGCCATCAGGGGAGCCATCCGCCCCGACAGCAGCAGCCGAGGCACCGACACAGGGCGCCCAGGACAGGGAGGGCGGAGACCCCCCCACCTCCACCCAGACACACCTGGAAAGCACCCAGGCCGCCACAGCCGACCACCGCCCCCGGGGCAGAGGGCTCCCACAGAGGAAACACTGGAAAAAGGTTAAATTAAGGTTAAAATATGAAATGATAAGAGCTAAAATGAGAATTGTGATATAGAAAGTTGTATGGATATTAAAATGGAGTCAGAACCAGAAGTTTATGAAACCAGATGTGTGCAGGAGCCTTCAGGTCAGCACAGAGCAGGAATCATGTCTGGGTCATCGGAGCTAAAACTTTGTTTATGGCCCCTGATGAGAGGCGAGGCACAAAGAGCGGCAAAAACAGGTCAAGAATAAACAAACAGAACCTTCCCGCAGCAGAAGACGTGCTCCAGACGTTTGAGTGATTAAATAAATTTAAAAATACGTGAAAGAATAAGATCTTATTCATCTAAAACTAAATAAATGTTGGTGTTAATCTACTTCAAGACGTCCTTCGTGAGTGGTCTAAATGAGCAGAGGAACGCATAACTACATCATCCATCCTCAGTCCAGGATGATCACAACTATCCTGGAGACTCTAAAGAACTTTGTCGTCGGGTTTAAGCAGCAGTGGGCGCTTACGGCGCGAGCAAACTGAGAAGGTCTGTCGTCCAGAACTACAGGTTTGGAGACAGTAAAGCTTTCCAGGGTTCCCCACTGGGAAGCAGCTTGGTCCGCTTTTCCACGGAGCCGAAGGTAAACGGTGGCAGTCGTTACTGGAGATTAGGAATGATGCAGGAGACGAGTTTGCACACCAAAGCCACAAGGCAACAGGGGAACAGCTGTCTGGTGGGAACGCGGCCCGGTTGGGGCATGAGCGACGGGACGAACACGAGCTGAACGGCGTGAAACGCACGGAATGGATGCCACCGCTTGGTCCAACAACGCTGCAGAATATTGGTTTACCATACTTTAATTCTGAATTTATATAAAATCAATCCTGGTCCTTCGGGATTGACATGCTAACGGCTAGACTGAAAGCTTCCAAGGTTGTTCAAAATGTTTCTTATGTCCAACATTTTCCAGCGCCAATATTTTTCAGTAAACCTTCATTACTGCCATCTTGCTGGCGTGCATTCGCAGGTTATGTAGAAGCAAACACATCAGCGGCTAAAGGCCGCCCTTCTGGGGGCATGGAGGGTCCATTTTAGCAGGATTTTTAAACATTTTTCTCGCCCTAATAAAGTCCAAACATTTCAACTGTCAATGTAAAAAAATTGTTGACAAGCAGAAAAAGTTTGTTGTGCTTTATTTAAAAACTGAATGTAAACTGCTCAAAAACAGGCTTTATCACTAAAAATGGTTATGAAGACATTCAGACTACACTCTCACATTATTGGAGGGCTGCACAAGCGCCGGATCTGATGTCATTTTGAAAATGTTAAAGTGAATGAA